AAGCAGGGAGCCCGATGCGGGACTCGATCCCGGGACTCCAGGATCATGACCTGAGCTGAAGGCAGTCGCTTAACCAACTGAGCCACCCAGGCGCCCTAGAACAATGATCTCCTTTGTAAGTCTTGCACTTAATAGATTTTTCACCCTGAAATCTTTACTTTCCTCATAATCATTAAAGGATACTCTTCTTCCAACAACATCTTCTCAATGACAGCTCTGTTCTCTTCACTGATGGTGCTATCCAGAGTCCAAGGCTATTAAAAAAGAATGTATATTTTTTTTATTTACTGCTTTTTGAAATTATCTTCTATGTTTTATCAAATGAAATACATGATACAATGATTATGAATAATAAAGCTACCATTTACTATGCCCAGACATATCTGATTGCCAGGATAACACTGTGGGACAGGGGTTATTGCTTCACCGATGCAGCCATAGCACCGCAAGTGTTTCAAGGGGAGGAGGAGAGACTTGACACACAAGACTGCTGGATTCCAAGGCTCAGGCTCCTACCCACGATAAAGTCATAATGGCTAGCATGTATGAAACCTATCAGGTAGCAAGCATGTTGCTAGATATTTCACCTATTTCCAAAACTCACCACACTTCTTTTTCCCTTTAAGCCACAATCTCTCCTTAAATGATCATACTCATTTTCAACTCTCAAAACTTAAAAATTTTCAGCTCAGGTGTCTTCTCTAAGCTCTATCTAGACTGTTTTTTCCAATTGCCCACTCCTCCATGTCCACTTGGATATCCAGTAGGCTTCTCAAAGTTAACATATTCAAAACTCACTAACACATACCTTCACCTGTTTCTCCCTGTGCTTCCACCTTTGTAAATAGCATTATGAGTCACCTAGTTATTCCACCTAGAAACCTAGGAATCATCTGGATTCCTCCCTTTTTTCTCAATCCTATATCCAATCTACCAAGCAATTCTACATCCAAAATATAATTAAAATCTATCCATCTCTGCCAAAACCTCTGGCCAATCTACCACCAACTCTTGCTTAGATTACCACAAATGTTTCCTAACTGGACTCTTTGATTCTGCTCTTGCTTCATACAAGCATGACAGAGCTCTGGTCTGCCTCTCCAACCCTGTCACAGCTGCCACTCCCCACTTTCCCACTATATTCTAGACACTGGCTTTCAAACAGAGCCTTTGTGCTGCTATTCCTTCTGCCTAGAATGTTTTTCCTCAGCTTTTCACATATCTACTCCTCTCTATTACTTTTCAACTGAACTGTCACCTTCTATTTCCCTCAATGACAACTTTATCTAAAATAGGTTCCCCACCCTGTTACTCTGAGCCAGCATCTTGGGTTCTTGATGGTCTATACTTAATTTGTCTACCTGACTCCCTTTTAGCATATAAGCAACTTGAGAGCAAGCCTATGTCTGTCTCGATTGTAGCTGTATCCCCCAAACCTGGGTCCAGCATCTGACGCACAGTAAGAATTCAATAAATAATCACTAAATGAAAGAAATGAACCCTGCAATGATCCCCGTCTTTTAGATGAAGAAACAAAGGTTCACAAATCTGATAAGTCGTAGAGCAAGGATTTGTACCTAAATCTAGCTGGCTCCAAAGCTGTTTCCCAACAGACCATTTCAAAGTCAAAAGAAATAAGTTTCTTTTATTTTTAAAGTAAGAAAAATGTTTCCAGTATATTACCTCTGTAACTGCTGAGAACTAGCACCAAGTAAAAAAGAGGTACTCCAGGCAATAAGTAATAGCTTATGCACCTGATATTTTCATAAAATACTTACAATAAGACCATTCTCAGTTCTCCACGATGAATCAAGATAGTGATCTTGTAAAACAGATGCTGTATTTTCATCACTTCTGTAATAATTAAGAAAATGGGTAAAAAGTGGTATTATACCAATTAATAAATAGCATTCACACAACACAGGAACTGGCAGGGTATGGATGTTAAGCAAATGTTTCATTTCCTTCTTCCCTTAACAGACTTAACATTGCAGAAATGCCTACTCTATTTCTTTAACCTATGGAATATAGAGTAGCTTTAAGCCACCCTTTTTAGCTCACCCTATCTCAACTGCAACCAGCCAGTCTGTTCACTTCTTTTGTTCCCCAAGAATAAATAACTTCATGAGGAAAAAAGTACCCCAAAGCAGCAACCACACATGCTCTACGGCCATGAACCAACACTTCAGAGCTTTTTTGATGAGCATCCATATGTATACAGGAATTCCACTTTATAATCAATTCTTTTAGTTATATCTAAAGCATAAAAGCCATCAATAACAGCCATGCCCTCAAAATGAAAAAAAAAAAAATAGATGGAAGAGTCAAATTGGAAAATACTCGACAGTAAAGTAAAAAGAAAATGTGATGTTTTAATAACAATTTGTCTAATAAAAAAATTAACTTGGGTTATTTGGGGCCTTTTCTATGTCCATGGGGGATTAAACTTTGTTAATTCTCATTCTTTTCACTGAACTAATAAAAACTCTCTAAAGTCACGCTGCTCACTACTCACATAAAAAAGCTGAATAGTTAAGTTTTGGAAGGCTGAATTAATGATATAGTTAAATTCAATATTTGCTTTTTTATATCTTGAAGTTATAAAGTTTCCTAGAAAATTACTGACTTTTCCCAGACCTAGTCTAGTGGTAAGAATTTTGTACCTCTTAGACTGCAAAAAGATTTATACTTTTGAATCTTCAATTAGTTCTACAGTGGTTATAATAAATTGTGGACTATCTACAATAAACTAAAAGCAGTAATTTCTCTCAGCTGCTGATGGCAAAAAGCTTTTAATTCATGTGTTAACTCTGATTTGGTAGAGGCTGCCAGGAATGCTAAATAAAGGATTCTGAGACTTGCAAAGGCAGAAGGAAACCTTTGCTTATGGAGAGGTCTGCCAAAAGTGCAGAGGGGGACTAGTACCACTTCAGGTATGTTTTGTTTTGTTTTGTTTTAAGATTTTATTTATTTACTTGAGTGGGGGTGGGAACACAGACGGAGAGGGAGAGGCTGACTCCCTGCTGAGCAGAGAGCCCGACATGGGTCTTGATTCCAGGACCCCAAGATCATGACCTAAGCAGAAGGCAGACACTTAACTGACTGAGCCACCTGGCCGCCTCTCACTTCGGGTTTAATGTCTTTTTATAGCGTTCCTCAATAAGGATTAGCAACTTCCACACCTCTGGTGTATGCATCTGGACACCTACCTGAATCTCCACAGGCGGCATAAATTAACATGTTTAAACCTTAGCTGAGAAATTCCTCTCAAATCTGCTACTCTTCCATTGTTCCCCATCTCAGACAAAGGATATGCATCCCCCTAGCTGCCCAAGCCAGAAATGTGGGCCTGCCCTTATTTTCCTCACAATGTACATTCAATTGGTTGCCAATTCTGTGGCTTCCTCACTTTTCAAATTCAGTCCTTCCACTATATCCATGCTGACCTCTGAAGTCCTGTAGTTTCAGAGCCACTTTTCCAAGATAAAGCTAACATGCCATCCACTTTCCCTTCTTTATCTTTTTCCACTTACCCCCATCTGGCCCATTGTAAGTTTTACTGTGTCTTACCCAATAAGAATGTTAGTTCTATGAGAGCAAGGAGTTAGTTTGATAACTGCTATATACCCAGGCCTTGGCACAGAAAAGGTGCTCATCAACATTTGTTTAATGATTAAATGAACAAGGTAGGTGGGACATGGATCATCCAGGTCTGTAGGAAGAATGAGGATTTTCTCATAAAGCAAATCGGGGATTGAAGGGAATAACATGATGAGATCTGGATGTAAGAAAGGCTGGTCTAACTTCAGTAAAGAATAGAAGGGGGCCAAAGAGATAAGGAGCAGTTAAGAGGAAGTGATTATATAAATACTAGAGAGGTGACAGTAACTTAGACCCAGGGAACAAGCAGTGTGAACAGGAAGAAGTGAATACATTTGAGAGGATACTTAGAATCAATAGACCTTTAGCAACTTATAGAAGGGGTGGAAGGAGAGAGGTAAGGAAAAGGGATAAAGTCTCTATCTGTGCCTTGAGTTACTGGGTGGATGGTGCCATCTATTGAACTAGGGAACTTGAAGGCAGATGGCAGGTGTGGTGGGAAGTTTATAAGCTGAGACTGAGGTGCTTGTGGAACATCCAAGAACAGATAGATTCAGAGAATTAGATAAATGGATCTAAAGCTCAGGAGAGAGATTTGGGTTGGTGAAAGATATGGAAAACATCAGTATGTATTAGGTGGAATTTTAGGAAACTGCCATTTTTCTTATGGTCAAAATGGTTTAACATTGGCAAAATTGTATATGATCCAGCCTAACAGACAGAAATTTAAATCTTGAGAGATGGTATAACCAGGGACTGTGTGGTTAGTTAGAAGTCTTATGACAAACCCCTTGGAACACGGATTTAAAGGACAAGCAGGAGAAAAGGAAGATGAGGAGGAAAGGTAGAAGTGAAAGGGAAACCAAAGTTTCAATGCCACCTTCTAACTTTGGTACCTAGAACTTAGCAAGTACTTAAAAGTGTGCTTTCAGTTAATCCTCAACGTTTCCACAGATGTTATCATTAGCTCTACCTACACACACTTCAGGGGGCACCATTCACCAGAATATAATGTTAATGATGCTCCTTGGAGTTGGGTAAGGCAAAGGCTCTGACCATCAAGAACCAATAACCTTTGTAATCCAGCTTGCATGAGTGTTAGATGATCATAGGTATCACCTGTAGACCTAAGGCTTGAGTACAATAGTAAGAGAAAGGAAAGAAAAAGAGAAGGCAAAAAAAAAAAAAATTAAACACGATCAGAAAAATAAAGAAGAACCTATGGAAAAGGGGCAGAGCCAATGCTCGCAGATGATCTTCTGTGTTTCCAAAGCCAACTCACTTCTCTCTGGACTCCAGGTAAGCATCCCTGCCTACTTAACACATAGACTTATTGTGAAAAGTAAATTAAATCATGCATGTAAGAGCACTTAGTCAAGATTAACTTGGTAACTTGATCTACACAAATGTGAACAACGATTGTTAATAAAAGTTCCCTACTCATCTGTATAGCTTTGGACTGCTTTGTCTAAAGGTCTGGGAGAGAATGACTAAATGAATTTAATTACTCCTCACATTTTTGTAGTGCTTTAGAGTTCAGTAGAACTTTAAACCCACTATCTTAATCCCTCAGGGCAGGGTGGGTACTGTTCTCCATAATTTACAGAGTCCCTAACATTAGGTTGGACTGTATGAAATTGCCATTTTGTAAGTTAAAAATGGTCTAAGATGGGCAATTCCACATGGTTCATTCAACCTAACAGACTTCTAAAGAGGTTGTTCATATTTATAAGCACCATAACTGGCTAAGTTTAGAACTAAGGTCTTTTGATTCCTGACAAGTCTAGGCCTCTTCCAATTCTAAAAGGTGACTGGGGAAGCACATTTTAAAAATAGTAGGTATCAATTTCTTATTTGGAAAGCAAGCAGTCAAAGGGCTAGATCTCTCAAACTGGAGGATGCTGCCTGAAACCACACTGGCCTGTTCTGCAGGAATCTGTATTAAATAAACTGTGACCCCTCACTAGGTCTTCACAATAATCTCCACGAGGGTAAGGAGATGGTGAAAAACAGAACATTTACCTATCTCCTACTGTATGCTATAGCACATCCCATAATTACTTCATTTGATGTTCACAATAACCATGACTGTCAGTTTTCTATGAGCGGTCTGAAGCTCAGGTAAATTACCTGTCTGATCCAAGGTCACACTGCTAGTAACGGACAAGGCCGGCCAATGCTGGAGAACCCAGAGCTGTCCAACTCTAAAGTCCTGTCCCTTTCCTTTAAGCCAAGCTGACTCTCAGGAAGTTTTTCACAACTAACCCCATGTGGAATAAGAAACCTGTCAGTAGGGATGAAACGACACGCCCAAGGTCACACGGCTTACAAGCGATGGAACAAGGATCCCTGAGCTCAGGTCCGTTCAGAGGCCGCTCTTGTTCTAGTTACTGTCCGGAGGGGGCAAAGGGGAGGGGGATTCTGGGGTTGAGATTATCGAAGAAGGAATCTAATTGTTGGATAGAGTGCAATGTGCTCGGCGAAGTCGGCGCTCTCAGAACATCCTGGTAAAAGGTAAAACAGCCATCCGACACCAGCCTCGGGTACCTACGCCCCCTGGGCTCAGGAGTAGCTTACAACAGGATGGGCGCGGCACCTCCCCGGCCACCAGGAGACCCTGGCCCAGCGGATGTGCTTCCTCTCCCCTGTTCCTTGCTGAACCCGCAGACTTTCCAAGGTACTTTCCTCGCACCCGCACTCCTCCCCATCCCTGTGAGACTCGGTCTCTACGCCTCACCCTGGCTGTGCGGCGGCTGGCACCACGTCCCCTTCGATATCCACATCCGCTTCTTCAGCCGCCATGATGGGACCTAATCCCATCCGTCCTCCCGAGAGATCCCGCGAGAGGTGGAAGACTTGGGGGCGGGGTCGCATGAGTCACGGGGCGGAGTTGAAGCCTAGTACAGCCCCTTCCTCGAGGGGGAGGCGGGGCTTTCCGAGAAAAGATCACAGCGGTCTTCTGAGGCTTGGTGCTTTGGACTTTTGTTGGTATGTAAAGACCTTGGGAAGTTTCCCGGGCTTGGGCTTTGACGAGATCGTGCTCTTGGACAGATTCTTGGCTCTTCACTTCTCTCATTGATAAAATGGGGATAATGGTAAATATCTACCTGGAGTGTTGAAAAGATCAAAGCCAGACCTGCTTTGGACTGAAAGGTGGCTGGTTTTCTTTTCTCTTTCTTTCTTTTCTTTTTCTTTCTTTCTTTCTCTCTTCCTTCCTTCATGTTTTAAGGAAGGAAAAGGATCATTCAGCGATTATGTGAAGTACTAAACAACTTCTATTTTAAAATTCAAAAAACATTTAAGTATGTGACTTACTTCAGGAGATCTTTGCAATTAAAGGATCATTCAGCGATTATGTGAAGTACTAAACAACTTCTATTTTAAGATTCAAAGAACATTTAAGTATGTGACTTACTTCAGGAGATCTTTGCAATTAATTAAAAATTCACTCTCATGACCTTTGATCTTTACAATAACCCAGTGAGGACTGTTATCATCAGTCACACTTTACAGATGAGGAAACTAAGGCTCAGAAAACTGAAATGACTATCAAAGGATATATAGCTAGTCAAAGAACTGGGACCAGAATCCGGGTCTTTTGCCCGTACTGAGTGCTCACCCTCTACAAATCATGTTGGCAGGATAAACACCATTTCTCTCAAAGAATTTATGACTTCTCAAGAAATTAGATATTGGCCTTGAGTAGCATATACTAGCATTTATTGCTCACATTATTGCAACTGTTCATTCACTTGTCTGCCTCCACCGTGAGACTGTGAATTCTTTAAGGACAAAGGCTCTGTCTGCTAGTCCTTATACTAGTCCTCATTCCAGCAACATTCAGCATGGTGTCTGACACGTCAGAGGTGCTCAATAAATATTGAACTGATGAATGAATGAAACAATTCAAGTGTGCTCATACAGGCTTCTGTCTCAGGCAGCCTTTCCAGTGTTATACCTCCTCACATCACTTTTTGCTAAATTATACAAAGAACAGAGGACAAAATGACGAAATTTAACTGAGATATCTATACAATTTCATAGTATGTTCAGACGAGATCAAGTGCGTTCAGGGTGGTATGGCCGTAGACTCATAGTATGTTCAGACGAGATCAAGTGCGTTCAGGGTGGTATGGCCGTAGACTCATAGTATGTTCAAAGGAGTTTTCAAGTGATCATATGTTTAGATTTTTCCCACCAAAATGAACTTTCATAAATTCCTAGTCCCTTTAAATTTAGTTATTTATAATACCTAACAAAAATTTTAATTCATGATGGTGCTCTGCTTTCCATAAACAAACTGAATGAATGTCAGAATAATTTTAGAGCAGAAAGGGAGGAAGATGAATTACAAACAGAGAGGATGGGTCAGGGCTAATATGAGCACCTGTCATATCCTGGATATTATATAAGGTAGAATCCCTTTTGGACCTCCCAAGAATCATGCAAGGTAAGTATTAGCAACCCACCCCATCCCACATTTTAGAGGTAAGGAAACCAAAATTCAGAAAGTTACAGTTAGATAGCTGAGTACTAGAAGTGCGATTCCAACCCAAGTCTTTATTCCTCTATACTTACTCTATTATATTTTAATTCACAACAAAAGGAATAGGGTCTTTCGCAATACTACATGAATTGGTATTTTCTCATTTGGTGTAAGAGTAAATCATAATCAGATAATTTTCTGATTTCTTTGAGGTGCTTAAATCTAGAAATAAGTAGAAAGTGTATTTCAAAGGTTGGAAACTTATCTTGGGTTTACAAATTCCTTCTCGGTCCCCCATTAATACACTTTATTTCCTTCATTGATCCTAAAACAGAATTTGCAAGAGGTGCCATACCTGTAAATCCTCACGAATGTTGTTAGAGGAACATTCAGTCAAGAAAGTGTCTGACTCACATTTTAACTGCACTGTGTATGAATCCACTGGAGAGGCAGTTTATTCATTTCATTTCTCCCTATTTCTGGTGAAAAAAGATCACTGCATTTTTATTGAAAAAGCAAAGTATAATTGCAATATTAATCCATAAAAAGCTGGCATGTTAGCGTTCATGCTAATTAGCTCAGATTTGTAAAGTGCTTTAAAAGCAGGAACTGTCACACAACTGCTCACTAATGTTATTGTTACATTATGATCCAAACTGTCAGCTAAATGATTGCCAGGGATTCAAGAGTTCCCATTTTAAAAATAAAATGGCCAGTGAGCGGGGAGGAAAACCACTTTTATCTATGCAGAGGTGAGATAATAGATGAATGCAGACATAGACTTAGGGGCTACACTTGGCACGCATTGGCTGTGGCTTGAATTGTTCCAGGAAAACAAGCTGCATTTTATTTTATTTTCCCTCCCCAGTTCCCTGAAATCACATAAGGTAGCTACTGAAAAAGCTGTTCTCAATATGTTGTAAGGAATGTCTGCCAATGCACTTCTTACATTTTAATTACAGTAATGCTACATCCATCTGACATTATGCGGAAGGGAAAGAAAAGATGCCAACATTAATGAGCTCCTACTGTGTGCCAGGCATTTTACAGACTATTTCTTTACAGCCCTTTGAGGTAAGGGATTGTTATTTTCATTTACAGATGTGGTAACTGAGGTTCAGAACAGTTAAGCGATTTACCCAAGGAACTGTAGCTGATCGTTGTTTTCCTTACATCATGCTGTCTTAGCTTAGGTTCTAATAGCATCATTCAGAATTGCATTGCTTCTCAGCAACCCCCAGTGGAAGGATTAGGCCTCTTTCTCAAGAGCTCCAGGAGGATGGGTGTTGGTGGCCGGGCTTGGGTCACATGCCATCCAAGAAGCCAGGTGGACTCAGTTCCACCAGCACCATGTGGAAGATGGAGGTGTGATGGCTCCCCAGAGCAAAATAAGGGTACTGTTTCCAGAGGGAGGAAGAATGGATGCTGGGTGAGGAAAACAACAGATGCCCCGTTGTACTGTTCTATGTTGCCATTTCTCTCTGTTCCCCCAGGCCTTTAGTATAATCCATTAACGGCTACGGGCTCCTGTTAGCACTGTACCAGGCACATTACTCAACCCCTGTAGATGGCCGCTTCTTCACTTGGAAAATGACCTATGAAATAATCTCCTCCAGAGGTAAAATTCTTTGATCATGTTCTTGTTCATGTCGCAGACATTTCTGAACACTGTCACAGGCAAAACGGGGATGGAATTGTTGACGTTTGCATGGGTTTGCATATGGTTGGCTGCTTAGTGAAGTATGGGCCATAAATAAAAAATTCCTTGTGCCTGGAATGTGCAACACTTCCCACGTTCCAGGCCCCTCCACGTTCAGGGGCGCTCTGCCTTCCGTGCTCCTTTCCCCTCCTCTTGTTCCCTCTGAAAGGGCTGGTTCTGACTCAGCTGTGGTCAACTGTTGCCATTTTGGATCTCAGGCTCAGAGTGGCCAGGTCTTTTGATTTTTCTTTTAAGACAAGCCAGAAATCAGGATTAATTTGTAAAAAACCATTCAAAGTTTTAAAAAACACTGTTGAGGGCGCCTGGGTGGCTCAGATGGTTAAGCGTCTGCCTTCGGCTCAAGTTATGATCCCAGGGTCCTGGGATCGAGTCCCGCATCAGGCTCCCCGCTCCGCGGGAAGCCTGCTTCTCCCTCTGCCTCTCTCTCTCTCTCTCTGTCTCTCATGAATAAATAAATAAAATCTTTAAAAAAACAAACAAACACTGTTGAACTGAACACACAATTATGTGGGCTACATCTGACCTGCAGTTCGGGACTATTGCCCTAAATCCTTCTCTCCTACTACATGTAACACTTCCATGTTCTTAGTTTTTCACAGTTCTGCCTACGGCACTACTGAAGTCTTCTTCAGGGCAGGGAACGTGTTTCTGTTCCTCTGTGTATCCACAGCATCTAGCTACAATGCCTGGTACATTATAATCACTTAATAATTGTTCGTCGAGGGCGCCTGGGTGGCTCAGTTGGTTAAGTGACTGCCTTCGGCTCAGGTCATGATCCTGGAGTCCCTGGATCGAGTCCCGCATCGGGCTCCCTGCTCGGCGGGGAGCCTGCTTCTCCCTCTGCCCCCCGCTCATGTGCTCTCGCTCTCTCTCTCTCATTCTGTCTCAAATAAATAAATAAAATCTTAAAAAAAAAATTTATAAAAAAAAATAATTGTTCGTCGAAGGAATGAGTGGATCAACTAGAAAAAAATAAAGCCAGTTTTTTTTTAATTGAGTATAGAAAACTTATTTTATAAACACATAATCAATGGATATTTTAAATGATAACTATATAAATATAAATATACACACATGTATATAACAGTTGCATTATGATCCTGACAAAAAATACACAACCCAATAGAGAAAGGAACAATTACAAACCTAAATAGAGTCCCAAAGTCCCTTCTCATTAGTGAAGGAGAGATGTATGATGTTTTTCTGCCTGCCTCTTTATTGTTTTGGAGGGGATTCAGGGGAGGCAGAAGACAAGTCTCCAACTTGAGGGAAAAATTCAGTCTGTATTGATTCTGAAGGGCTGTGTAAGACGAAATGTAAACCTGCGCTGACTCTCAGTTCTAGAGCTCACACATGATCGAGTATGTATGCACAAAATCCTGCCCAGTGTCCTTCCCTTTGTTGTCTAGGTAGCTCCCTTTCTATGTGAAAAGTCAGCTTCAGCATTGTGCCCTTGCTTATCTTCCTGCCCATTCGCACAAACCCCCTTCTCTGCGACCCTAGAGCCACAGTGCATGCTTATGTCAGAGAGCCCAACACTGGCCAGTAATTGCCTCCATACTAGCCTGGGACCTCCTTGAGGACAGGGATCATGTCCATGTTATCCACATCTAGCACGTAGTAGATGCCTTACCAATGTTTGGATGAACAATATGTCCTCTATATTAGGAAGCATATTATCTCAAAGCTTCAAGACATTTCGTTCAGTTCAATAAGTGTTTACTGAGTACCTACTATAGAGCAGGATATGGATCCCGAGAGTTCAGAGTGGTGGAGGGGTGCAGGTTTTAAAAAGGGGGCTCAGCATAGGACTTGTTGGGAAGGTGGCATTTGAGCAGAGTCTTGCCAAGCTGAGGGAGTTGCCAAGCTGATGTCAGGAGAAAGTGTTCAGGTGGAAGAAACAGCCAATGTAAAGGCTCTGGGTGGGAGTGTGTCTGGTGGTGGCCAGCACGGTGGAGGAAGGTGAGCAGAGGGAGAGCAGGAGGGGAGGAGGCCAGACAGGTAACAGGACCACAGTTTGTAGAGCTTGAGGTGTCATTGTAAGGACTTTAGTTTTCATTCTGAGTGAATCAGGGAGTCATTGTCAGGAATCCGTTGAGATTAAAGGTAGATATTAGCAATACGAGTTCACTGAAACTTATATAGGATTATATACCGAGTGGTTGATAACATGACCCATATGATGTTTCTTTTTGTCAGGTTTCCTGAGGAAAAAAATCCCACAAAAGAGAACTGATACTTTTGTTAAAATAATTCCTTTTCCCCAGTATGGTGGATGAGTACATCTTTGTCTACTCTGGTTTTTGTGTTGAATTCACCTGACATATTTCTCCTTTTTTCACACTGCATCCTAACTTCTCATTTGAACAGTCATATCGACTACTTGAGAAATAGACTGGCTGCCATAACATTTCCCATTCATTTAAAACGTGTGTTTTTGCCACATTGAGGGGTCCTAAGTCCATATGCTGCTTGCTGTTGACTCTGCTGGGTTCATTAGCCTCTGATGGGAACAAGATCTTGTCACCACTGATAAGGAATTCATACTCAAGGGGCGCCTGGGTGGTTCAGTCATTAAGTGTCTGCCTTCAGCTCGGGTCATGATCCCAGGGTCCTGGGATCAAGCTCCGCATCGGGCTCCCTGCTCAGTGGGGAGCCTGCTTCTCCCTCTCCCACTCCCCCTGCTTGTGTTCCTTCTCTCTCTTTGTCTTTCTCTGTCAAATAAAATAAAATTAAAAAAAAAAAAAAAGAAATTCATACTCAATATATAAATGGATCATTAGAAGCAACAGAACAAAGGCCGTGAAGCAGAGGTCTGTGCCTGGCACCATGGAGGACTGATGGGGCAAGGCTAATTCTGTGCCCCTCTTATGCTCTGCCTTTCATCCTCTCTAGGTCACCTTTTGCTCCAGTGATTGCCATGGCAACCAGCTTCACGCAGGTGTAACCTGACAGCACCACACGTCTCCTACTTTCTGCAGCAGAAAGTGCACTCGTGCACAATCTGGGAAAGCAAGGGTGTTAACACCCCACAAGACAATGGATGACCAATGGGGAGCAAATTCCTGTAGCATGGAGCCCCTTTGTTCACAGAATGGAACAAAGCAATAACTTACTCTTGAATTGACTTTCCCTCCTTTACTGGCATGCTCTTTCCATTCCTCCTTCATAATCCTTGGGACTACTTCCCAAATAAATTAGTGTCTGAAGCCCTGGTCTCAGACCCTTCTTCCCTGGGGAAGCCTAAGATAAGACAGTGAGGTTAGACTTGGGTTTTGAAAGTTGAACGAGACCTTTCCAAGTGTAGAGAGAGGGAAAGTGCATTCCAGGCCAAAAAAAAAACAAAAAAAAAAAACGCAGCAGCAAAGACAATGAGACATGGACAGCATAAGGCAGGGCTGGGGATTTGCAGCGACCTTCTGTGGCTGAAGCATAGGATATATGGACGATATGAGGAGGAGAAAACTAGTGGGAAGGTTTGTTCATTGAGAAATACCTGTCAGATACACTAAGCTGAAAATATTGAAAAAGTCTTCCCCCAAAGTTTTGTTTGTTGTTTGTTTCTCATCATAAACATTCACATTGTTTTAGGGGCACCTGGCTGGCTCAGCCAGTAAAGCATGCAACTCTTGATCTCAGGATCATGAATTCAAGCCCCACATTGGGCACAAAGCCTACTTAAAAATAAAATAAAATGCTATTAAAAAAATAAGCATTCACATTGTTCTTCATTTCTGGGAAATCAATGTCCCATGGACTGAGTAGTAACTGTGAGCCATGCACTCAAGACGAAATTGAATATTTGGGTGAAAGACCAAATTCTGGAAAACAAAACTGCTCTTAGTGTGCATATTATCAGCAGGTATGTAAAACAAAATTTATAGTGACCAGAAGAGAGGAGATCCTGAAAAATTTCAAGGAAGCAAAGTAAATAGAAATGAACTATATAATATCCATTACTATTTTTTTTTAAAGATTTTATTTATTTATTTGAGAGAGAGAATGAGAGAGAGAGCACGTGAGAGGGGGGAGGGTCAGAGGGAGAAGCAGACTCCCCGCCGAGCAGGGAGCCCGATGCGGGACTCGATCCAGGGACTCCAGGATCATGACCTGAGCCGAAGGCAGTCGCCTAACCAACTGCGCCACCCAGGCACCCAATATCCATTACTATTAATTAAAGTTATATAAAATAGCAGTGCATTTTTAATGTTTTATTATTATGAACAAAATAATTTGTAAGTGCTTTTGTGTAATCATTCCTACCTTATTTACCATTACCCATTAAGGACTTAAGTTCTGAAGGGATGGTAGGTTTAGGTTTGAAAGGAAATTTTGGACCTCTGTTTTAGCACTATGTTCTGTCTTACACAATAATTACCATAGTTCATTGAATCTAAACTTCATTTACATGGATAGTAAGTTATTCCATTATTTTATGTGCCATTAAAAAAGAAAAAGTGCTGCCAATTACATTTTGACATGTTGTTGATTGTAAGATGCATCCTGTTTTCAGAGCTTTGAGAAAATATATCACTTGAAATTGATGCCTGCAATTTCATCTCCCCCCCCGCCCCCCGCAACAGCTCTGGGATAGGGGGAGTGGGAAACAGTTCAACTTTGACTCTTTCTAATACTTGATAGAGTTCCTGGTACATGTATGGTTGATAATGTGTTCAGCTAATGTTTGTTGAATTAAACTGAACAGATTTCTATGTATCTTCACCCGCTTTGACATAGGATATTTCATGGGATAAGAATTTCATCATCCGGGCGCCTGGGTGGCTCAGATGGTTAAGCGTCTGCCTTCGGCTCAGGTCATGATCCTGGAGTCCCAGGATCGAGTCCCACATCGGGCTCCCTGCTCGGCGGGGAGTCTGCTTCTCCTCCCTCTGACCCTC